TGCAGTTCAGTTGGGGCATTTTGAAGGCAGTTTTGGGGCATTTTGAAGGCAGTTTTGGGGCAACTTGAATCTTAATCATTTTTTTCAAAACTGGCATAAGACCTTGTTGTCAATTTTTTCGTATGTTTTTCTCGGATCTTGGCCACCAACACGGGAGTCTCATGTTTCTCTTCGATATTTTTTGCTTTTAAATTTATTTTCCGACTGAAAATGAATCAGTTGTGTGTCGAAACGTCTCGGGTTTTTTAATGTTGTATTTTAGCCTTGTACCCCGTTTTCTCCCTGTTTTTCTCCTGCTTAAATCTAAATAAACTATATTCACATTAACATGAGCAATGATATCCATAAGAATGCATGTATGACAGAGCTCGTGCCACAATTGATTTAGTAACTTTTGATCACTGCTGCTTCCATTTCGCGGAACTAACATCGAATTCCGGAACCTCTGAGACTTTCCTGAATTTTTCCCGGAACTTTTGAAATCCCCAAAATGTTCCAGATCTTTTGCATTTTCCGGAAATTTTTCGGAACTTTTAAAACATTCTAAAAAGAGTCCCGGAACTTTCAACGGTCATGGAGTGGGAGAAATGGAGATTTTGCATGTGTGAAGAATTTGCGATTTGACTACGAATTCTTACGTAAAAGTTTGCGAGAAACACGATGGTGCCACTGGTTTTCTCTGAAATCAACTCCCAGGCTCAAAAAAAAGCTCTCAATCTGAGGCCAAAATGGAGGGGATATCCCACCCTACCCTGAGAGTCCACCTCTACATCAAGACAAACTCTCCATGCAAAGATAGGGAGCAAATACATTGACAGGGCTGCCACTTTATTTGGGGACTCTAAAACTGAAAACACGGCATCACTGCTAATGTATTTGCTCCCTATCTTTGCATGGAGAGTTTGTCTTGATGTAGACGTGGACTCTGAGGGTAGGGTGGAATATCCCCTCCATTTTGGCCTCAACTTGAGAGCTTTTTTTGAGCTTGGGAGTTAATTTCAGAGAAAACCTGTGGCACCATCGTGTTTCTCGCGAACTTTTACAAAAGAATCAACAGTCAAATCGCAAATTCCTCACACATGCAGCATCTCCATTGAAGAAAAAAAGTTCCGAATCCCGGAACATTTGACGGACCTAGAATGGGATCACTGTTTTTGATTCGAACACATTCATTCGGTATCTCGATGATGCTGCGAGTGGACTGGAGCATGGACGACGTCTCCGAAAGGCGCTATTAGTCCGTCGGTCGGAGATGGTCGTTTCGCGCACGGACGGTTCCGGGACGCACGAGCGACGCGCGACGAGCGACGACGCACGTGCGGCACAATTACACACGCGCCGCGACGCGACGCGACGTCAGCCGACGCCGATGTCAGTGTCCTTCTTCGTCGCGACGTCGCCCGCGCAACAGTGTCACGCCAATACTGACCTACACCACTCCGACATTCAGACACTCGGACCCGGACCTAGTTGCCGGCGTGTCATGCGAGAATGATCCGTGATATACCGATTTTGCGGCTGCGGTTCTTTGCCATGCTAGGGAAAAACGCCGTATGAACATTCGAGAGTTGCCAAGTTTCCTGCAATAAAATGTTTATTTTTGAGGAAAATTATGAATATTTTTCCTTGAAATTTTCAGGGACTATAAGTGAAAATGCAAATAAAATTATCTGAAAAATTGGAAGGAAAATATTCACGAGTTTACCAGGAAATTCGTGGTTTTTCAAAGGCAATTTGGCAACGTCTGAAGGTTTATACGGCGTTTTTCCTCAGCACGGCAGTATTGCTAATTCTGTTGTGCTAAGGAAGAACGCCGGCTTGAGTTTGAATTCTCTTTCCGTCATAAAGGCTCCATGTTATTTTGAAAATTCGAACGTGTGTTTATTGCAGTAGGAAAAACTATGCACTTGTGCGTCTAGCCCTCCAATCCATTCAATTATTGCACCATTCAACTCGAAAATTTTCGAGGGCAAGAAAATTTTTGACGTTCATGCTATTTGTCCCCTGTCGTGCAGGCCCGCCACAAGGGGGGGGGATACTGGGTCCTTGGTAGGGCCCTGGAGGGGCCTAGCACGGCAGTATATGTATAAGGCTTAGACAAATTTCACTAGTTTACCATCAAAACGCGATCGTACAGCGGGCCACTCTCCTTACTGACCAACTGACCCATTTCCACGTGAGCCGAGGCAGACTTTTCCTGCGTCCAGGAATTTCATCCAATCCGGCGACTGATTTTCGACCTCATCATGATAACCGGGGGATCATTACCCGAGAGCACTTTCGTTCTCGAACCACAACGCGCCACTCCGCCTCCTCTGCCCGAGCCCCCGCGCACGATTCCTATCTGCGCGTGCGCGCGCCGGCGTCAGCGCTGAATGAAACTCAGCCCCGGGAGGGGGGCTAATCGCGGCCCCCGGTGCGGAGGTCGGAGGGGGGTCGCGGAGCGGTTAGCCAGCCTGGCGACTGCGACTGCGCGGTCGGAGCCGGGAACTGACCCAGACAACAAGCCCCGCCCCGCGCACCATCCGGGCACTCGCGTTATTCGCGCTTCGACACGCGGCGTCGCGCGTTTGCACGCACCGCGCGATCTGCGAATAGTTTTCCGGGTTAGTCGGCTGCGCCGATTTTCATCGCGATCCGGGATCGGGCCGAATATTCGGGATCCTTGAGGTAATTTTCCTTCAGTGTAATGGAGAATTTGCATGCAATTTTTTTATTGCTTAATCTGAAAGTGCTAAAAGAGCTGAGTTCGCAGTATTTTTGATAATTTTTTTCTGACATGGGAAAGTTGAGAAAAATAGCTTTCAAAGTGAGAAAATTTGCCGCCTTTTGAGTCATCTGGCAGCATTTTCCATTTAAACACATGTATTTTAGCATATTAGGTTATTTTGTCATATTTTCTCCAATAATTGTTCAATTTAAAAACCAAGGATATCCTCATACTAACTTTTCCTAGTAGTATCATTTTAAAGATGAAATCAGCAAAATTTCTGACACCTGCAAATTCTCCATTGTGATCTCCTCCCCCCCCCTTCCCTCCCTTATCCATTCCCCGCACACTTAGCACGTGGCCAAATTTCATGAATAATAAAATCTTGAAATTTCACGTGAAATACTTCAGGAAATTTCAGAAATTTATAAAAGGTATTGAATATAATACCGGTTCCTTTTCATGTTTAGCAAAATGTAAAAATTATGACTGCCTTCTATTTTTGTGTGTTAAAGTGCGAGTTGCATACTCTAGCCCCCGATGAATACGAAATATTTCATAGCCTCGAGGAGTTTCATGAAATATTTCACTGAAATTTCCAATCTTTCATTTCTTTCCTACGTTTCATGCCACCCTGACTCTGCAGTGCAATACTTCCGTGCTGAAGAAAAACGCCGTCATGCAAAGTGTTGGTGATTTTTATTGTAAAGACGCTGTATGAACACTCGAGTCTTACCATATTGCCTCCCATCAAAATAATGTTTATATTCGCGGAGAGTTATGAAAATGAAAGGTTTTTATTGAAATTTTTAGATATAATATTGCAACCGTTACCATACTTTGCGCTGCAGTGCTATCATATTGAGGGAAAATGACGTTAGATAGTGTTGGTGATTTTGGTCGTAAAAACGCTGTGTTAAGAACGCCGTAACAACATTCGAGAGTTGCTCAATTTCTTTCAGTGAAATGTTTATAATCGAGGAGGGTTATAAATGTTTCTTCTTGAAATTTGCAAGTTTTAGATCGCAAATTAATTTATACAAAAAAAAACTAAAAAATTAGATGATTTCTCTGAAGAGTCATATTTTATTGAAGGAAATTTGGAAACTTCTAAAGGCGCATTTGGCGTGCCACTTTAGCATGGCATAATAAACCACTGGACAAGGTGCAAATTCATACATCATGATCTGTCGATGGCCAAAGTGAAAAACTACGTTTACGACGTTGCAGTCTTCTTGTTATATTTTCTTTAGTCTTTGGAAAAATATTGAACGAATTTTTCCAGAACTTGATTTTGCCTCCCCATCACCAGAATATTCTGTATGAATTTCAACCTATAAATATGACTTGAACACGCGGTGGTAACGCGGTTTCGCACCTTAGCCACCGACATGTCTCTCGATCACAGTGCGCGTAGAACAATATTTGAGCACTGAAATTTACTGCAAGTAACTCTTCACAGATATATTAATGTTTTTCAGTCCATAAATTCAAACCATCCGCTCAAAAACAAAACCCACAATCTCCTTAAGTTGAGTCGCACGCGAAACATCACCATGATAGTTTTTGGAGTCAATGTATGATAACCTCCAACCAAAGATAGTGGTTGAAACGAAATTAAAGTACGCATTTAAACCATGAAATGGCCCTCAACGGATTTATTTTCCCTGAATATCTTCAAAAAAACAATTTTTAACGACATTTATAAAGCGCTTGAACATTGTATTCTTCTGAATACCATTAATGGTGTTGTTTCTGTGCATCGTCAAATGTTTAGTTAGAAAACAAAAATTTTTGAAACAGCTATTCCGCCTCTCATGTGTCTAAAATTGGATAGACGCAAAAATGTAGGCAAACTCGTTCCCTTTATTGTGCTTTTGTTTTCCACGACAATACTTGGCTCTTTTTGAAGACAAAGAAAAAGTTGTAGCATCAAAACCGTCGAGTCTTTGATTGACTTTCAGAGCAACTGCGTTGGTCTTGATCAGATCGTCGCACTTCTGACGTAAGGGCATATCTCGATTTTCACATGAGCCTTGGAAAGCATGGATTTATATGGAGCACAAGGCTCACGTGGAAATTTAGATATGCCCTTACGTCAGAGGGGCGAAGAGATATGCTCGTCAGGACTAGAAATCGCTGGAGACAGTGACATACTTCACATGAAATCCCCAGCAAGAAGAATAATCTTCTCCTACGTCCATTGCTCCATTAATTAAATTTTACAATCTTCGCGTTGCTAAAATGGATCGTTTTGTCCTAATGGATTTTTTCTCTTTCTTTGTTTCAGTCTCACATCCGTGACTTAGGTTATGTTCGGCACTGCGATTTCGGATAAAGAGGACTAATATATTACGAACGGCTATATGACCACAATCTACAGATATATTTGTAAGTATTCTTTCACGTTGTCTCTTCTAAAATTAATGGGTTCCATTAAGAATTCTGCGTAAGCTTATACGAAAAAATTAGCGGAAATCGCCCGAACAGTGTTCTTCCCCGTACAAAAACATGGTCTCAAATCGTGTAACCTTTAAATATTACACATTTGATCCATTAGTTAATTACATTTAACAAATAACTCTACACTGCTTCCATTTCCCCAAAATGGCAATAGGTCCGCTGCCGATCAGAACTAATACGTCATAACTCCATTCGAAATTATCTATAAAATAAAAAACAAGGAATATTCATACTTCATACAAATTTTCTTGCAAATTTTCTTTGAAGTATTTCGAAATCATGTTTGGCTGCAATACTTCAACAATCTACATAAATTTTGAACATAGTGCAAAAATACATGGTAAGATAACTAATTGAAATCGCCGTTTACGTGAGACATACATCAGATGAAGTCATTTACCATTGCGTCACTTATGCGCGATTGCAACATCTGCGTTAGGGATGTCGATACTCAGGGAAGTATCGATACTCGGTATCGATACTGGTATCGACTCTAAGCATCGATACCGGTATCGAGCATCGAGCTGAAGTATCGATACTTATGAGGTATCGATACTATTTCTGAATTATGCCGTGATTCTGAGTGTGCGTATGTCTGTCGGCGGTTAAATTCCGCCAGATTTACGCCTCTCTCGAAAAAGCCCTGTTCGCGTCCTTAGTCAGCTATTTTGAGCCTTTAACTACACTTATCGAACTGAGCTTTTAACATTTTTATTGAAGTATAATCATTTTGAGAAACTTGATTACTCCGTCGTTTGTCACAGTGCATCTTGAAGGTGAAATAGTGGGGAGAGAATTTTTTAAAAAAGAAAAAGAGGCCTTCTTCATGGCCAAATCAGATTAAGTATCGATACCGTCGATACTGGGGTCTTGGCATCGATACTGCATGGTATCGATATCGTGGAGTATCGATGCCGAGTATCGTTAAGTATCGATCGAAAGTATCGATACTTTGCAAGTATCGGATAAGTATCGACATCCCTAATCTGCGTAATTTTTTTCTTCTTCACCTTCGCTCCCCGTAACACAAGTCTGCACTGCCTCAAAAATTACGCAAATCTCTTTTCAACCCTTATTACGTTTTGTGATAGATGGTTGGCAAAAAATTGCCACCTCACGGCGATTTTTCATTTAAAATTTTCGACAAATTTTCGCTGAGCATCGATTTCAATGTTCGATCCTTAATGCAATCATGTACTATCTCTTCCCATCATTAATGCACGCCTATACACCCCCCCCCCCGTCTATAGAGCGTTACATAAAAAATGTAATTCTTTCACCAATAAAAGTAGTTAAGGTCACCTTATACAATATACATTCTAACAAAATTGTATCTCTTCCATCTTTCATCACTTCTTTATCACTTGAAAAACTTCTGAACTTTGATTGGTGAGGAATAATTCAGTTTCAGTCACTATTTTGCCTAAAAGGGCTGTATTCAAAACCTCTTGTGAGTGCTTACTGACGAGAAATATTTTGATCGCATTATATATATTGTGCCTCTTTCTCCGGAAAAAGCTCTTTACAGCACTGCATGCTGGTGCGAGACTATTGAATTGCAGCCATTATTCTGCCAAATTTTCCGGAAAAGGTAAATCAATGAAACGCATGCGGATGCATTTTGGTGAAAAACCACTTTATTGTGCGCATTTCATTTCCCCTTTCACCTGGTGCAGCAACCATTGAATCAATGCTTGCAAACAAATGCTGATGATAAGCATTTTGTCCACAGATCTTTTCCTCCAAAAAAAAGCCTTTAAAGGCACACATCAGGACTTCCACCGTCTAGAAACCATTTACGAATACACTCGCAAATGCGAACTAAATGGGGCCTCCCTATGGAGAAAAGCTTTTACAGAACGACCACAAACGTCTGTGCCCCTAAATTTGAAAAACATGAATGAAGTAAAGTCAAAGGTACAACCCCCGAGGTCATATTCATAAAGTTGTTGCTGATTCAGCCTCTTTCTTAATGAAGCCCCGTATGATTCACACTGTGGTTAAGAGAAGATTCAGTGAGCTTCAAGCATAGCATAATAAATTGGACAATTCCTGCAAACTTAGTGTTTAATTCCACAATGTTACTCTGGAAATGGACCCTCACAAGGGATTTGCGCCTACCCCAAAGTCTGTCAAAATCATATAATAGTTTTCCTTTGTTATGTTTTTATTTTTGCAAAAATGTATGATCGTAATGCGTTACAAGGGCCCATTTCCAGAGTTAAAATACGGAGATTCATGCGAGATTCGAAAAAATTGTCTACTTCATGATGCTATGTTCAAGGCTACCTTAATCCTCCCTGAATCACTGCGTTAACCAAAAAGAGCCTCCCAAGGAGTGGAACCTCAGATAAGAAATATATTTTTCAGAAGTTTTGTGCACATTTTTCCTTAAAATTTTCAGATATTTTACATTCAATTGGGTACAAAATTACCTGAAAACTTTGTGGGAAAAATGTACGCAATTATCATAGTAAATTCGTTTTTTTCGATAGAAATGTGGCAACGCCCGATGGCTCTTACGGCGTTCTTCCTAAGCGTGGCAGAACACCTGCCATTCAAACGGTGTCTTAGGTTTTGGTTTATATTTTTCTTCTAGTTTTATCCACCAAGACACGAAAAATTCTGATCGAACCTTTCGTAAACAGTATGAGCTTCACCGCTACTCCCCGTTGCTCAGTCCTAGTCTAATCCCATGCGGTCGGCGTATATACAAAATGGTCGCAAAGGACCATCGACTCTAAAATGTCACCAGTGGCGTGGCGTGCTTTGCGATATATCGATTGATCTGCCATTCAACCCTTTGGAAAAGGATCGATAAACAGGGTGTTCGTAACGAACACCTTAATAATCGATTTTTTATCACAGCTTTAAATGGGGAAATATCGATAATCGATCACTGAATTTCACCCGGAGAGCACGGCTCGGATTTTTTCCCCCAACTTCCCGTTCAGACCCGGTCGAGTAAGTCAACAGCATCGAAATGAGCCAGCGCACAATAGATTGAGTCCATCGGAGAAATCGAACATGACATTTTTGACTACAACTTCAAATTTTGATGTTTATTTCGTCACATTTTAAATTTTACGGGGTGTATTTAGAAGAAGATTTCGCAAGAAAACCAACAGAACCACTTGTAGAACCTCAAAGCTTTGAATAAAGCTTTGTATCAGTGCTGCCATTTCTCGGAATTAGTTCTGAAATCCGGAACTTTTCAAATAATCGGAACTTTTTCCCGAATTTTCAGCTATTTTCGAAATTTCCACGAAATTTGCGGTTTTACGCCAGTTTGACCATTTATTCGATCACATTTAAGGATTTTTTGATCAAATTTGGCGATCTTCAGAACTAAATCCGGGCGTATTTCAGAATTTTTCCTCGGGAATTTAAAAAAAAAAAACGAAATTTTTCTCGGAACTTTTTTTTTTTACCACTTTAAGTAGCCTACAAGGGCTAATCCCGCGCTTTTTTAGTCTCGGCCCCCCTCCGTCCCTACCGAACAACCAGTCCCAAGCAACCATTGTTTGAGACCATCAAACTCGGGTCGCCTGGCCGGGAATCGAACCCGGGACCTTCCGATCATAGAGCTAGCGCTACAACCACTACACCACAGGAGGCCGACTTTGACAAATCGGAATATGTTCCTTCCGGAATCTTTTCATGAAATAAAATGGCAGCACTGCCAAGAGTTCTAAGCTTTCAAAGTTTCAATATTTTGTCCAACATCTCTTATCGAATCGGTCCACCGTGCGGCGCCCGAAATAAAATACCCGGCGCATTAATAACATTCTAATAAGATGGTCGCGGCCACAAATCTCGAGGAGACGCCGTTCAACCCCCCGGTCCCCCTTGTTTTTCCCCCGGTCCGTCCAATCTGCCGGGGCAAGAAGAGTATCTAGCTCACCGGCGACTGGTTTTCAGGTCCGGTCCAAAGATGCTGCTCCGTCCTCTCTCTCTCTCTTCCCCCGGGTCATCTCCCTCTCTCTCTCTCTCCTTTTTTTCTAATAACGGATTCAGAAGAGTGAAGTAGATTAATGTTTCGTTTAGCGCTTCGAGCTCGCCGCTTGCCGCTCGCGCATCGATAACACGCACTATACTGCCGTGCTAAGGAAAAACGTCGTATGAACCTTCAGGCGTTGCCAAATTTCCTCTCATAAAACGCGATTTTCCTGGTAAACTTCAGAATATTTTCCTCCCAATTTTTTAGATAATTTTGTTCCCAATTTCACCTAAAGATTCTGAAAATGTAAAGGAAAACGCATCGATAACATGCACTATACTGCCATGCTAAGGAAAAACGTCGTATGAGCCTTCAGGTGTTGCCAAATTTCCTTTCATAAAACGCGATATTCTTGGTTAAGCTCTGAATATTTCCCTCCCAATTTTTCACATAATTTTGTTCGCAATTTCATCTGAAGATCCCGAAAATTTAAAGGACAAATGGACGGAGTTAAACAGAAAGGAACCAAGCCACATCGGGATCGAACCGAGAAAAAGAGGTTTAAAGTTTGGCTCCTGCTTAAGTCTCAATGTAAAAGATAAACTGCAACTTCAATTTCTGCAAAATTTGCTCCGACAAAAGCTTTGAATTTTTGGCGATAGATAGTAGAGCAGTGGTAGAGTTCGAAGCCACTCATAACTCAATTTTTTCCAAAATGTGGGTTGGTTCCTTTCTGCTTAACTCAGTCCAAATATTCATGACTTCCTTCAAAAATGAACATTTTATCGAAGTAAATTTGGCAACTCTTGAATGTTCATACGGCGTTCTTCCTCAACACGACGGTATAATGGAATAATCGATTTTTATCCCGGGAGACTCGGCAACGAGGGGCGAGGCACGGTATCAAAACGTTGACACAATTAATTTTGGCGGTTTTGGCGGACCGGACGTTTTTACAGTTATAGTTTCGGTTTATGGCCGTCCGTCG